ATTTTCTCTGTTTCATTTAAATATGTCAAGATTTAAGTTAGACTATTCATTCAGTTTAGGTCTGGATTGGCATGGCATTACAAGGCAATTATGTAGGTTGCTCTGTATTTTTTTTTAAATATCAAAACCGTGTTAATTTAAATCCACTTTGACCCCTAAGTAGTGGTAACCAAGGGGTAAATTCTTAGAAATAAAGCCAAAATTAGAAAAAAGTAAAATTCAATTCAATTCAGTTTATTTATACAGTGCCAATTCACAACACAAGTCATCTCAAGGCACTTTCAAGTTCAACCAGATCATACAGTCAAATTGATTCAAAGTTTTCTATCTAAGCAAAACCAGTTGATTGCATTGACTCATTAACTCAAATACAATCCCTCACACTAAGCATGCTTGTAGCGACAGTGGAGACGAAAAACTCCCTATTAACAGGAAGAAACCTCCAGCAGAACCAGGCTTAGTGTGAGCGGCCATCTGCCGAGGCCGACTGGGGTTCAAGGACACAGAAGCAGAGATACAAAAAGCAGCTATTAAAGGCGGCCCCATCCAGGAAACACACAGCCAGGCCAACGAGCACTGAGCCAGGTCCCATGTCAGAGGATGAAGAGAGCACATCCAGCCAGTCACAGTCAGAGAAACAGGACTACACTGGAAAACAAGGGTGTTGATGGAAGCAGCACAGCTGATATATCCCTTTCAGGATGGCGTCACAGCCAAACAGGAACAGACGAGGCAAAGCTATTCTGAGAAAAAGCAGAGAGAGCATAACGTCAGAGATTGAACTAACAGAATGATGAAATGGGGGTCCCTATGTCCTCCAGAAGTCTAAACCTATAGCAGCATAACTATAGAGATAGCTCAGGATAACCTGAACCACTCTAACTATAAGATGTATCAAAAAGGAAAGTTTTGAGCCTAGTCTTAAAAGTAGACAGGGTGTCTGCCTCACGGACTAAAACTGGTAGATGGTTCCACAGGAGAGGAGCCTGATGACTAAAAGATCTGCCTCCTATTCTATTTTGAGAAATTCTAGGAACCACTAGTAAACCTGCAGATTGAGAGCGAAGTGCTCTGTTAGAAACAAAAGAAACAATCATATCTCTGATATAAGATGGAGCTTGGCCATTTAAGGCTTTATATGTTAGGAGGATTTTAAATTCCTTTCTGGATTTAACAGGAAGCCAGGATAGAAGAGATATGATCTCTCTTTTTAATTTTCATCAGAACTCTGGCTGCAGCATTTCGGATCAGCTGAAGGCTTTTAACTTTTAAAAAAGTAGTGAAACAGACATAAAATAATAAAAAAGAAAGATTTTGGATTCATCATCTTCTAACTTTTTTTTTTGACCTTTTGAACTAGTTTTTTATTATGGTAAGTTTCCTGGTTAGTGAAAACTTTCTCTCCCAGGACTCCTGCAGTTCTCAGAAAAAAACCTCACAGAATCAAGGAAGAGCTGCAAACCAGGAAACACTTTCTCCACTTTAACATTCCTGGCTCCCTTGGTGTCCTGCAGAAAACTCTTTTTGTCTGCTGACACTCACTATGGGAAAAAGCTTTCTTCACTTTACAAGTAGACTGATGCTCTTCGTTTGGTTTCCTCTTTTTATTTTTCTTAGAAAAAAATTCATCCACCAGCATCTCACCATCCTCCTCCAGAGAAAACCTGCCTCCCCTGTTTTATTCTCTGGGTTAATGCTTTCAGTGTATGACTGCTCACTCACTACTGAACCAGAAAAAGCAACATCAGAACCAACAGCACAAAAATCTCTGGTATCCAAACTAGCAACTTCAGGGCCATCAGAAACTGACCCAGCAGAAAATGAAGCATCAGCACCTCAAATATCAGTTCCTGAACCATCAGGACTTGGAAAAGCATTAAGCAGCTCCTGTGAACTCTGTGGATGTTCATGCTCTGAACCTGTTGATGAGGTCTCACAGTTTTTAGTCTCAGTATTTAGTTTTTGTGGACAGGAAAGGACAATATGTTCCTCCATTCCACAGCCAAAACATTTTTTATTTTCTGAAGAAGCATAAATAGTGTAATCATTTACTCAATCAAATTTAGCTCCTCAGAATTATTTTTCAAAACCATAAAGACCTGCCTTCTAAAGGAAACAATGTGTTTAAGTTGCAGGGATTTACCTCCCAAAGGGATCAGTTTAATTAGCTGTCTATGCCTCGCAAGTTCTCTTTGTAGCCTTTAATTATTAATGAACGGAGGAACTTGGGACAAAATTGTCTTTTTGGCCGGACTAACTAGTGGCACCACCTGAACAAAGGTGTTCTGAATGACCACACCTTTCTCAACAACCACGCTGACTTTGTCAACACTGTCCAGAAAGATGACGACTCCATTATTCATTCTGGAAGCAGATTTCACACTATCATAGCCAACGATTTCTCTGATTGCTAAACTGCAATCTTCCACAGAGCAATTAAAACCTGAGTTTAACTCTGTGTCAGGGCGTGACCTTCTCCAGCCCTGGATTCCTAACTCCTTGAGTCGGCAGTCATCACAAATCACACAAACAGTAAAACCAACAATGAACAAACACACAAGCAAAACAAACAAACAGACAAGTATTAAAGATAGAAGGAACACTCTGAAACGTGCACCCACTCTCACAATCCTCCACTCCCAGCATGCACTCAGAAAGAGAGAGAGAGAGAGAGAGAGAGAGAGAGAGAGAGAGAGAGAGAGAGAGAGAGAGAGAGAGAGAGAGAGAGAAATGTCCTTTTCCAGGACCTGGTTTAGCTATAAGGCTTGACTAACTGCATGTAGTGAGGCTAACGCTGTATTCTGCTTTCCTGCATTCTTTTTCAATCGTCAGGATCTGACCCAGCATGGATAAATACAGGTGGAACTGACTTAAAGCACTTTTTAGAAAAGGCAAAGAAGAATAAACCATCTGGGATTCACATGAAAAATATTATAGTGTACTTTTTCTAGATGTTTAATTTGCATAGTTTCTTTTAAATAAAAAACATTCTCAGAAATTAAATAGCTTTTATATATTTAAAAAGTATAAAGCTAAAAGATTATCCATTATTAAACTGGTACTTTTAGCTTTTTGAAACCATATTGGACCATGCAAAACACAGATTTACCTTCACAAAACCTCAGAAGGGCAGGATTTGTGTACAAAAAGTAAACCTGTAAATTAAATTATGTTTTGTTTTTTTAAGTGTTTTTAGAATGTTTTTTGTTTATGGCATTCATATAAATATAAAAGGTTTGATAACCCCCCCCTGGAGAAAACTCCACCAGCCACCACTGACCATCATCAATGTCTGAAATTTTTTTCTATTGCCACATCTTAGACTACTGATAACTGCTTAAATAATATTCACTATTCTTTATACAGACACAAGGATAGAAAATGAAATGCATCCTTATATTTTTATACCTAATTGCTTCAGTTTCTTTTACCAACATCATTATCAACATGTAGAAAAAAAATTTTTTTAATTTGCAAAGGTTTTTTAACATTATTAGTTTGAACATGGCAAGTTACTGCTACCTTTTCAATTAGAATTCAATCTAATTGTGCTTCAAAATAAGGAAAGATAAATAACATGTTCTAAGACTTCTAAGATTTTATATTCAGAAAAAAACAGCTAATGAACATTACATTTTCTGCTTTCAAAATACAAAATCATCAGAAAAAAATCAGGTAATGGAGCAATATACAAATCTTTATCAAAGAAGAACCTTTTTAAACAACAGAAGTCAACAATCTAGTGCACAAAATAGGGAATTCACGTAATAAATGACATCAAATCAACGTAATAAATGACATCAAATCAACGTAATAAATGACATCAAATCAATCAAAGAACACATAAAGTAATGTATAGAACAGCCAAAAATGTTCTGTATAAAAATGACAAAAGCATGAGAAAAAAGAAACCTAAATTTCACCTTTGAATAATTTAAAAATAATTTATATTAAAATAGTTTTAAAGATATATAAAGAGACTTTTAAATATACAATGATAAAGCCTATTATACACAAAGCATTTTGTCTTTTGTGACGCCTGCATTGTTATACATAAGGGAAATATTAATATTTAACACAAAGTCAAACCATAACATTTAATAAAGATTACTTTGGTCTAATGATCATTTTAATATCAACTAAACTACAGAGAAAAAAATTAAAACAGTAAACTTAGCTCAGTTAATATTGCTGTAGAAAATCAGGGCCATTAGGTTCTCACATGGTGAAAAGCAGATGACCACTGAAGGTTGTGTGGTGATTTTGGTTATCTAAAATTCTCGAATTTGACTCCTGACGCAAAAACACAACATCTCCAACCTCTAACAGCATTGTCCCTCCATTAGAGCATTTGGCTCTCCCATTCGTCTGATGCTCAAAAGCCATGAAAATATTTTCTCCATTCTTGACCAGCCAAGCACCTGTGGGATGTGATGCATGTCCAGAACCATATATATAGAACTCAAAGTGGTAGGTTCCTCTCACTGGCGCTGTGAAAAACCCTGGAATAAATCATCATCATCATCATCATCATCATCATCATCATCATCATCATCATCATCATCATCATCATCATCATCATCATCGTCATCGTCATCGTCATCATCATCATCATCATCATCATCATCATCATCATCATCATCATCATAAACTAATGTACCTGTGTTCGGGTTGTAGGCATTTCCGATATTTGCAACAACATGCCTGAAGACCAGAACAGTGTGTGTGTTAAATGGACCAAAAGTTCCAGAACCAGAGTCAAACAATGAAGCTGAGAAAGCCACTCGTTTCACTGTAATACAGAAAATAGGTATTAGGATCCTGCTTGATTTTAATTACAGTCAGCTGGTTTGTTTTCCATAAACAAGAGAAATCCACTTAATCTAAAATAAATTTGTTGTATCTTTAACAGGAATACACAATCTAGTTTAAAAAATATTTTCGATAGATACAGTAGATGTGATTGTTATCATTTGGAATTTATATCTGAATTCACCAACCTTCTCCTTCTTTCTTCAGAGCCTCCACCTGGTTTTCAGTGACATTTGCTCTGCTTTTAACACTGATAAGTTCTTCTGTCTGAGCTGAAGTCATAAAAAAATAAAAACATCATTATCAAAGCATGATATTTATTCATCTTATGGCTTTATGGCTTAGAAATATAATCTAAGATTTTTTCCCTCCAAATCTGATTAACCTTTGTTTCTTTTTTTTGACCTTATTTTAAAGGACAAAATAAATTAAGCTGTGGAGCTTTTTTGCTTTAAGCATGTTTCACAAAAAACAACGAAACAATAACATAAAGAGGCTTTATGTAATTTCTTAATGACAAATATCTTTAAAATAACCTTTTTTATTGACACTTTCTGACTTAAACATTGTTTGGTGAACAGACTGACACCTCAGTAGTAAAGCGTAGGTGCATCAATAAGCCTATAGCCTATTTTTCTTAATTTATTCTGGGTTTGAATTTCCCGCACTCTTTGGCGGATGTGATGTGAAGCACGTCCATGTTGAATGGGTTCGACCTAGAAAACAATCAAAGCATTATATTAAAATGGATGTTGTGGTTACTCAGAAGGAAGCGGTATCCAGCTTAACTTAAACACCAATGAAAGCTCCAGGTAAGGTGAAAAAAGTAAAGAATAAAAAAGGTTTTGTGTTTGGTAATAGGTGGCAGTATCATTAGAAAACTTTAATTTATCTTTAAAGTTAACAGGCAGTAGTATTACACAGTGGTGATTGGTTGATGAGGCGTCATGAAGAGTTTGGATTTTGACGGCTGGGTCCTTTAAAAATAATGGGCCCGAAATACTTTGGCTATAGAATAGATCAGGTCGAGCCTTCCCCAGCTGTCAACACCCCTAACTCACGTCGGCTCTGTTACCACCCTCCCTGCACAGTGCCTGCGCCATCTTTGTTATTTCTCTCCCAAAATCAAATCCCATGATGCTTTGCAAGGAGGCCTATTGCACAGCATTCTGGTATATGTATATCTGCTTGTCTAGTGACCATGGAAGCACAATACTTTTCAAGGTGCATTGTGGGAAATTTTGAATCCACTACTTTTTCATCCACTAGACATTCTCATTAAATGGCCTATGCTCTATATAGGGGTGATGGCGGACATTCGGACACAGCCAGCGTTTTGCTATTTGAGCACAACATATGTGGTGAGGATTCGGTATTGCTGAACCCATCACTATTAAATAGTGAGCTAGTTTATCAGTTATGAGAAGACATCTAAGAACAATAAGGGATGAACTGGTTTCAGACTGAGCTATGGAAGCCCAAGGATGAGGGTAAGGTAAGCCATGTTCTTTCTTGTCAACTATATAGACATGATGCAAATCTATCTGTAATCATAGCTAATTTTGCTTCAGTATATATTTTCTGATAATAAAAAGTGCTGTTGACACAAAGTAATTTTTCATACCTTAAGTGAAGCTAAAGTTAATTTTTGAATTCATGTTTTCAGTGTTGACTTACCTTGGTACTGCTGTTTTAGCTTGTCCAGCTCATCCTTCTGCAGCGCCAGTTCTTTCGTTTTAGCTAGTGTGGCATAGTAAAAATATAACTGTAATGTTATTTCTATGTGAATACTAGCAAATCAACATAATTGTTCCATTAAGTCTTAGCAAATAGCACCAATTCACAACACATGTGCAGTTCTTTTGTTTTTGATCTGTGATCAGGATGTATGTCTGCCAGGAAATACTCCTGGCAGGCATACATCTGTGTATACATTAGTTAATGGTAACATTAATGGGAAAATATAAAAACCTCCAGAAATCTTTTGCAAAAAGAATAAAGTCACAGACTCTTAGCAATGATTGATGTCATAATGATCTTTTATTCCAACCTCTATATTTTACAGTGAATTGGTTGTTGACATGTTAAGAACTTTGATTATGGAGAAATGTGCATCTTGGAAATTATAGCATCTATAATAAATCCCAATAATACAATGATGTGAAAATACTATAGGATTTTTAACCTTCTCCTTCTCTCTTCAGAACCTCCACTTGATCTTCAACACTGCTCAGATCTCTTGCTTGAGCTGAAAATACGGCAGCAAAATAACAAGTATTTTACAATTACTATTTTTTGTGAATAAAACGGTGATGGTATGTCATCATGCAAACATAGATTTTGGATTTAAAAAATCTATTGCCAAAATTATCCATCATTCTGCAGTTGTCCCTGCAGATGTTTTATCTAAACGGTTTAATTATTGTAATACTCCTTTAAACGTAGACCTATGTAAAATATAACTTTTTCACAACAGCATTAATAATAGCAGCTGTTATATAATTACCTTGGTACAGTTGCTTCAGCTTGTCAAGTTCATCTTTCTGCAGCTCCAGTTCTCTTGTTTTAGCTAGTTGAGTAACAAAAAGAAAATGAATAACAATAATGTTAGATTTATATCAGTACACATCTATCAATCATAAATTATTGTAAAAGCTACACTGCTGTGATTCAACACACCTTCATAATCTCTCTGTAGGAACTTCATCTCTACCTGTAGTCCAGCCAATGAGGCGCTCATCACTCTCAGCACATTATTGATGTCCTGTGGAAATGGTTGTTGGGGTTCAGATAGATTTCCTGTATCTCCTACCTGTGATCCAGTTTGCCTTAAATGGGAAACAATTTCATTGTTGGTTGAAGCCTGAAGCTGAGCAGTGTAGAGAGAACAGAGCAGCAATGCCTGAAAAAACATAATTTCCATTCTAAGGTTTAGTCTCTGTAGGTCAACTTTGTGCGTTGTGTGGTGACCCATCCTTAAATATTCTTTGAGTGAGCAGTGACTAATCATTAACTTTTTTGTTATTACAAGCACGTTAAGGCAATAAAATTTAAGCCTTGACCTTTTCATGGTAAAAACAACAAACTCAATACTTGGTCATAAAATATGAGAATATCATGTTTGTTTGTACCTTTGGGTCTTTTATCTCATTTTCATATCGTGAGAAACATAGGAAATCCACCTTAAGGAATATATATATATATATATATATATATATATATATATATATATATATATATATATATATATATATATATATATATATATGGAACAGTAAAGTTTCCTCTCTGTTTTCTCAGCAGAATCCATTAGAATTTCTCTTTATTCCAGGGCATATTATTGTGCATGACAAGATCAGAAGAAAAATATGAGCAATATTTTTAATAATGACATGGTGAGGATTTTATTTTCTATAAGTGAAGATGTTGTCTTAGCATCAACAAACGAATGAAAGATTATAGGGATTCTGAAATATATTACTTTTGGAAAGTTACACACTATGTTAATGACGCCTAGGCAGAACTTCAACTGAATAAACTTAAGCTATTAGTCACATTCACTCAGAGACTCATCCGTCTTTCTAGTAAGCCAATTAGCATTCAACTAAATCTCCTCAAAGGCCAGTTTAAAAGACTTTCAAATCCACAACTCAGCCTGCTACCCAACTAAGCATCTGCACATATGTCTTGCTATGCCAGATTTAGACTCAGATGCCTTGATCATTCAATGCAATAAAAAAAAAAATCTTTATTAATCCCAAAGGGAAATGAAATGTTGAATTAACTAATTGGTCATTTTGTATGCAGGTGAGCTTTTGAAACTATTGCCCAACTCTTCCTGCCTCTTTAGTTTTACTGCCTTTGAGGGACCCACTATATTATAATATAGTGAACTTTTTCTAGATGTTTAATGTGCATAGTTGCTCTTACATAAAACCATTCTTAGAAAATAAATAGTTTTTATATATCCAAAAAAAAAAAAAAGCTAATAGCTTCTCGCTTATTAGGTTTGTGAAACCATATTGGACCATGCAAAACACATATTTACTTTCACACAGCCTCAAAAGGGCTGGATCTGTATACAAAGAGTAAACCTGTAAATTAAATTATGTTTTGTTTTTATAAAGTGTTTTAAGAATGTTTTTTGCTGTTGGCATTCATATAAATATACTAGTGTGATAAATTAGTATACGTTTGATTGGTTTTGGTATTCATCTATTTTGAATTTATAGCCTCCCCTGGAGAAAAACTCCACCAGACGCCACTGACCTGAAGTCTTAAAATTTTCTTTTCTGCCACGTCTTAGACTACTGATAACTGCTAACATTATATTCATTACTCTTTAAAGAGAGAAATATAGAAAATTAAATGCGTCCTCATATTTCATACAGAATTGCTTCAGTTTCTTTTACCAACATCATTATCAACACGCAGAAAAAAAAATTATTGGTTATTTAACAATATTAGTTTGAACATGGCAAGTTACTGCTGCCTTTTGAATTAGAATTCAATCTAATTGTGCTTCAAAATAATAAAAGATAAAAAACATGTTCTACAACTTCTAAGATTTTATATTCAGAAAAAAAACAGCAAATGAACATTACATTTTCTGCTTTCAAAATAGAAATCATACAGTGTGAAGTGTCAGGTAATGGAGCAATATACAAACCTTTATTAAAGAAGAACAATTTTAAACAACAGATGTGAACAATGTAGCGCAGAAAATATGGAAGTCACATAATAAATCACATCAAATCAGAGAACTCATAAAGTAATGTATAGAACAGCCAAAATTTTTCTGTATAAAAATGACAAAAGTACGACAAAACAGAAACATACATTTCACCTTTGAATAATTTAAAAAGAAATGAAATTAAAATAGTTTTAAAGATGAGACTTTTAAATATACAGTGATTAAGTCTATTATACACATAGCATTTTGTCTTTTGTTACGCCTGCCTTGTTATATATAAGGGAAATTAATGTTTAACAAAAAGTCAAACCATAACATTCAATAAAGATTACTTTGGTCTAATGATCATTTTAATGTCAACTAAACTACAGAGAATATTGCTGTAGAAAATCAGGGCCATTAGGTTCTCACATGGTGAAAAGCAGATGACCACTGAAGGTTGTGTGGTGATTTTGGTTATCATAAATTCTAGAATTTGAACTCTGACGCAAAAACACAACATCTCCAACCTCTAACAGCAATGTCACTCCATTAGAGCCATTGGCTCCACCATTAGTCTGATGCTCATAAGCCATGAAAATATGTTCTCCATTCTTGACCAGCCAAGCACCTGTGGGATGTGATGCATGTCCAGGACCAAATATATAGAACTCAAAGTGGTAGGTTCCTCTCTCTGGTGCTGTGAAAAACCCTGGAATAAATCATCATCATCATCATCATCATCATCATCATCATCATCATCATCATCATCATCATCATCATCATCATCATCATCATCATCATCATCCGAATAAAGTGATCTACCTGTGTTCGGGTTGTAGGCATTTCCGATATTTGCAACAACATGCCTGAATACCAGAGGAGTGTGTGTGTTAAATGGACCAAAAGTTCCATAACCAGAGTCCAACAATGAAGCTGAGAAAGCCACTCGTTTCACTGCAAGACAGAAAATAAATATTAGGATCCTGCTTGAATTTAATTACTGTTTGTTTTGCATAAACAACAAAAATCCACTTAATCTAAATTACAATTTATATCTGAATTCACCAACCTTCTCCATCTTTCTTCAGAGCCTCCACCTGGTTTTCAGTAACATTTGCTCTGCTTTTAACACTGATCAGTTCTTCTGTCTGAGCTGAAGTCATAAAAAATAAAACAATCATTATCAAATCATGCATTCATTAATTTTATAGAATTCTATTTAAATTATACTAAAACTATGGCTGATTGATATGGCTTATAAATATAATCTCAGATTTTTTAATTCCTAATCTGATTAACCTTTTTTCTTTTAATCTAATAAGAAAAGACAACAAATAAGGTACATTACTTCAAAAAAGCCAGCTTTTATTTAAATCATCTCCTATTGAAGGTGACCTTATTTTAAAGGGGAAAATAACTAAAGCTGAGGAGCATTTTGTTTTAAGCATATTTCACAAAAAACACTTCACAACTTAAACTTTGTTTGGTTAACAGACTAACATGTCAGTAGTAAAGCGCAGATGCATCAATGAGCCTATAGCCTTTTTTTCTTTATTTATTTTGGTTTTGAATTTCCTGCACTGTTTGGTGGATGTGATGTCAATGTTGAATGGGTTCGACCTAGCAAACAATCGAAGTGTTATCTTAAGATGGATGTTGTACAGGTGCTGGTCATAAAATTAGAATATCATGAAAAAGTAGATTGATTTCAGTAATTCCATTTAAGAAGTGAAACTTGTATATTATATTCATACATTACATACAAACTCATATATTTCAGATGTTTATTTTGTTTAATTTTGATGATTACAAATGACAACAAATGAAAATCTCAAATTCATCATATCAGAAAATTAGAATATTACTGAAGACCAATAAAAACAAAGGATTTATAGAAATTTTGGCCAACTGAAAAGTATGAACATGAAAAGTATGAGCATGTACAGCACTCAGTATTTAGTTGGGCCTCCTTTGGCCTGTATTACTGCAGCAATGCGGCGTGGCATGGAGTCGATCAGTCTGTGGCACTGCTCAGGTGTTATGATAGCCCAGGTTGCTCTAATAGTGGCTTTTAGCTCTTCTGAATTGTTGGGTCTGGTGTATTGCATCTTCTTCTTCACAATACCCCATAGATTTTCTATGGGGTTAAGGTCAGGAGAGTTTGCTGGCCAATTAAGAACAGGGATACCATGGTCCTTCAACCAGGTACTGGTAGCTTTGGCAATGTGTGCAGGTGCCAAGTCCTGTTGGAAAATGAAATCTGCATCTCCAAAAAGTTGGTCAGCTGCAGGAAGCATGAAGTGCTCTAAAACTTCCTGGTATGTGGCTGCGTTGACCCTGGACCTCAGAAAACACAATGGACCAACACCAGCAGATGACATGGCACCCCAAACCATCACTGACTGTGGAAACTTTACACTGGACTTCAAGCAACGTGGATGAAGTGCCTCTCTTCTTTTCCTCCAGACTCTGGGACCTTGATTTCCAAAGGAAATGCAAAATGTACTTTCATCAGAGAACATGACTTTGGACCACTCACCAGCAGTCCAGTCCTGTTTCTCTTTAGCCCAGGCAAGACGCTTCTGACGCTGTCTGTGGTTCAAGAGTGGCTTGACACAAGGAATGCGACAGCAGAAACCCATGTCTTTCATACGTCTGTGTGTGGTGGTTCTTGAAGCACTCACTCCAGCTGCAGTCCACTCTTTGTGAATCTCCCCCACATTTTTGAATGGGTTTTGTTTCACAATCCTCTCCAGGGTGTGGTTATCTCTCTTGCTTGTACACTTTTTTCGACCACATCTTTTCCTTCCCTTCGCCTCTCTATTAATGTGCTTGGACACTGAGCTCTGTGAACAGCCAGCCTCTTTAGCGATGACCTTTTGTGTCTGTCGATTTTGACGGCTGGGTCCTTTGAAGGACCTTTGAAAATAACGAGCCCGGAAGAGTTTGGCTATAGAATAGATCAGGTCGAGCCTTCCCGAGCTGTCACCACTCCTAACTCACGTCAGCTCATTTGAGCAGATATACATCCAGGTCAGGTCCCCCTTGATTTTACTTTGTAAAAAAGACCTAAATTATGTTTTTCCCTTTCCAAAATTTGTGAGCATACTAAATCATAATATGTTAAGAGTTAATAATGAGAAAACAAAGTCCTTAAAATGCTTTTTGTTTTTTCACCCATCAGTGCCCGATCTATACCAGAAATGGAATCTTACGCAACGTCCGATAACTTTTTCGGCTTTAATTTTTACAGAAATGTAGTCTCTTTGAGTTTTATGTTTTCTTTTTGTGTTAAAACTATGGTATATAGTGCTTAACCTAAAGAAAGAAACAACTAAAATGCAGATAAACATGGTTTAATCATATTTTGCCAGAGTACTCTTAGAATGTCCAATGATGACGTCAGACAAGCAGTTTAACGGAGAAAATGTAATTGTCTCAGAAATTCATGAATCGTTTTTTTAAAGATGTGTGTTAGCATTCTTTAGTGAGTTAAGGATAGAAATAAATATATAAATAAATATATACATTATGGAAACCCAATGTATATCTGGCTGTGCATGCACAAATGAGCTGATGGTACGGATCGTACAGGCCAAGGTACTGTGATATGACGTTATCGGTCAGCAAATCTGGCCTCGGGAGGATGCATCTGCCTGATTAGAAAACAGCAATTTCCAAACTTTACCAGTGCTGCGTTGATACTATATCACTCTATACTGACACGTTTTGGACCTTTAAAATCTCTACATGCAGCCTATTTGAAAGACTAAACTGACACTGATTGAATGACCTAAAACAATAATTTAAGTCATACCGTGCTATATTGTTTAATTTAATATATTTGTTTAAAATAAAAATATCTTTGATTTAGATTTTTTTAGATTCAGTCATAAACAACGTGAGGAGATATCATCACTTGATAATTTAGGTGAAGATGTAAATGAGGATGCTTGCAGACTAGGATTTATAAGAAATATTCAAAACATCAAATACCTACAACTCAATTTGAATTTACTTTACATTCAAATACCTTGAGTGATAACTGAGAGGAAAAGGACGACACAAGAAAATTAAAACAAATACGAGATCTTTTGCCTTGAGCTTCCTCTATACTCCTTAAACAATTTGATGATGAACCGAAAAAGATCTGCTTGATTTTCTTCGCAGCTGCATCCCATTGATAAATACACTTGCAAACAGAATTATTTAGTGCGTCAGTTCGAAACAGTGTCTGTATCAACAACCTTATTGGTCAAGTGACTTTCTTGAACCCATATGAGCACCTACACAGTGGCTTGTGCCCCAAAGTCTGCCCTAACCTGTCACTATATAGAGCGTTGACTAGTTAATTGACTGTTTAGACAGATGATCACCACTTGCCTAAAGTTAATTTTTTTAATTCTTTTTTTCAATGTTGACTTACCTTGGTACTGCTGTTTTAGCTTGTCCAGCTCATTATTCTGCAGCACCAGTTCTCTTGTTTTAGCTAGTGTGGTATAGTAAAAAAGTGAATACTATGTGAATACTAGCATATCGACACAATTGTTCCATTCAGTTTTATTAAATAACACCACATTCATAACTCATGTCCAATTCTTTCGTCTTTCGATCTGTGAAAAGCTGTTTTTGTTTTTTTTTGTTTTATAACAAATAATCCTGGCAGACATACGTCTGTGTATATAGTAGCTAATGACTACATTAATGGGAAAAATTCAAAATATTAAGAAATATTTTGCAAAAAGAATAATTACCAGACTCTTTTTTTATTGATGTCATAGTGATCTTTTCATTCTGACGTCTATATTTTACAGTGTATTAGTTGTTGATATGTTAAGAACTTTGATTATGGGGAAATGTGCATCTTGTAAATTATAATAATAAAATGATATAATAATACAATGATTTGAGAATACTATAGGATTTCTAACCTTCTCCTTCTCTCTTCAGAACCTCCACTTGATCTTCAGTGATGTTTGCCTTGGCTTTAACACTGCTCAGATCTCCTGCTTGAGCTGAAAATATGACAGCAAAACAAGTATTTTAGCCCCACTATTTTTTGTGAATAAAAAGGTGATGGTATGTCATCATGTAAACATGGATTTTGGATTTAAAAAATTTTTGTCAAAATTATCCATCATTCTACAGTTGTCCCTGCAGATGTTTTATCTAAACCATTTGATTACCGTACTACCCCTTTAAACGTAGATCTATGAAAAATAAAATTTTTTCACAACAGCATTAATAATAGCAGCTGTTATATTATTACCTTGGTACTGTTGTTTCAGCTTGTCAAGTTCATCTTTCTGCAGCTCCAGTTCTCTTGTTTTAGCTAGTTGAGTAACAAAAAACAAAATGAAAAACACTAATGTTACATTTATATCAGTACATACCGGTATCTATTATTCCAATAAACTATTGTGAAAGCTACACTGCTGTGATTCAACACACCTTCATAATCTCTCTGTAGATACTTCATCTCTACCTGTAGTCCAGCCAATGAGGCGCTCATCTCTCTCAGCACATTATTGATGTCCTGTGGAAATGGTTGTTGGGGTTCAGATAGATTTCCTGTATCTCCTACCTGTGATCCAGTTTGCCTTAAATGGGAAACAATTTCATCGTTAGTTGAAGCCTGAAGCTGAGCAGTGTAGAGAGAACAGAGCAGCAATGCCTGATAAAACATCATCATTCCCATTGAAAGTTTTTAGTTTCTGTAGGTCAACTTTGTGCATTGTGTGGTGACCCATCCTTAAATATTCTTTGAGTGAGCAGTGACTAATCATTAACTGTTTTGTTATTACAAGCACATGAAGACAATAAAATTATAAGCCTTGACCTTATCATGACAAAAACAACAAACTCAATACTTGGTCATAAAATATGGGAATATCGTGTTTCTTTGTATCTCTGGTTCTGTTACAGTATCTCATATTCATTTCGTGAGAAGCATAGGAAATCCACATATTCAAATAAAATGAAATCCTCCATATTTTCTCAACAGAATCCGTTTGAAGTTTTCTTATTTACAGGGGATATTATTCTGCATGACAAGATCAGAAGGAAAATAGGAGCAATAATTTTGATAATAACATGGTAAGGATTATATTTTTTATAACTCAATTTGTTCTCTTAGCATCAACAAACGAAAAAGTTATAAATATATTACTTTTCTGAAGTTACACAATAAAAATTTAAGCCTTGACCTTTTCATGATAAAAACAAGAAACTCAATACTTGGTCATAAAATATGGGAATATCATGTTTCTTTGTATCTATGGGTCTGTTACAGTATCTCATATTAATTTAGTGAGAAACATATGAAATCTACATATTCAAATAAAATGAAGTCCAAATATTCAGTTTCCTCCATATTTTCTCAACAGAATTCGTTTGAAGTTCTCTTATTTCCAGGGCATATTATTCTGCATGACAAGATCAGAAGGAAAATAGGAGCAATATTTTTGATAATAACATGATGAGGATTATATTTTTTATAACTCAATTTGTTCTCTTAGCATTAACAAATTAAAAAGTTATAAATATACCACTTTTCTTAAGTCAAATACTATGTTAATGAAGCCTAGGCAGAACGTCAACTAAATAACCTGAATAACCTTTTTTCTTAATAAAAGATTGGTGTACAGTGATGAGCTGATGTGGTTGGTTGCTGAAGATCAGAGAGCATTTTCAAGACTAATATCAAATTTCTCTTATTACTGCTGCAGCCATTGCATTGCTGTCCTGTTTTGTTTTAATTTAGCTGAATGAACAAATGGAAATGTGGACAGATTTAATAAGTCACTGAGGTGATGCTGTGAAGATGATTTGAGTAAGTGTTGACTCAGCCTCCGGCTTTCAGAAAGTTCAATGTTGCAGATGCAGTAACTGTGACCTATTGAATTTAAACTAATATAAACATGCAAAAAAAGGAAATTATAGGCTTTCATTTCAAAATAGCAAACAGTGAAAATACAACAGTAGGGGTGTGTGCCTAGTGGTCAGAGCAGTGTGCTTGTGCTCTGAGAAGATTGCAAATAGCAGGTTTGATCCCCACAGCTTGCACTCTGGGTCCCTGAGCAAGACCCTTGAACCAACATTGCTCCCCGGAAGCCGCACAGTGGCAGCCCAATGCTCCCCAACGGGATGGGTTAAATGTAGAGGTGAATATCTCCAATGTGAGATTTATACAGTTCAGTTATTTTTATTAATATTATAAAGTATTTGAACATGTTAATGAAAATTTCTGAAAAGGTTTATTTTGTAAAGTGTGATAAGTCCTCACAAGAGAGCGAGAAAGCGTATTTTCCTCATGTCTTTGCCTGAACTTACAATGAACAAAGAGATGAGTCATATAGAGCATTTTCTGACTGTGCTTCCTCAATAACAGTAGTATAAACACAAAGTTCTAATTTATTGTACTTCTGATAAACCAACCCTTATCTGATAGCACCATCAGGCATCTGATAACTGTTGGTAAGATACCGGTAGTATTTTCTTAATCTGCTTCCATAAAGAGTAACACGTGAGATAAACGTACTCATAAATAGTGAATACTCTTTAAAGTCATCGAATAGGAGACCACTTTTTGTTTTGATCAGTCTCTTGATCAAAATTGAGGTTGGTGGCAGTCTTAAGGCGATATCTAAAACTCAAATGTACTTCAAAAATGATAACTTGTAACAATTGAATTTCAATTCATTTAAATTCAGTTTATTTAAATAGCATCAGTTCACAACACGTAGCATCTGAAGACACTATGAAGAAACAATTCAACCAGTGGCAGCTGGCCAATAGAGGGCTGCCCCACCCACCCAATGACCTTGATTAAGACATAAATAAACAAATAAAAAGGAAATTAAAATATTTTAAAATATACTAATACATTTCTTAGATGTGCAAGATAAATATTTAGTATTTAATGAAAAGTAAAGTTCTTTCATTCCTCGTTGGATTGATGACCTATTTTAGCCCTGGGGGACTAAAGTCTCTCAGTTGTGCATGTGCAGTAGCTCCTCTGCAATCTAAAAGGATAGGAGAGCTCTGGGCGCTATCGAGGTGCACCTCACGCTCACCCCGAACTGACAGGAACTGTCGTCATAGTCATGCGGCTGATTGACAAATCGAGTTGTGGAAGTGAAGTCCCTTAATCCAAACTAACCAAGAAAAGCTGGAGGTCTAACCATTTGGACTTGATTAGCCAAACATCCAAATTAATCAGCAGTCCAAAAGACAGAGGGTGTCGTTAGACTCTGTCTTTTTCCAGGACCTGAGTGGATGCAGTGAAATACCTAAAACCTTGAGGAAAATGGGTCCTTAGGGCCGAGTCTGAAAACCATTGCCCTAGTCAACGTAAAATAAATATTGGTTGCGGATGATTTTTTGGTGAAGTAATTAAGGTATTTTTTAGAATTTTCAATTATGATTTATAGTGAATATTCATAAAAAAACAAGAATATCTACATAACAGCACTTTTACCAGTCCTCATTTTTGTTTAATCCAAGTTCAATATTTCATGCATGTTCATATTAATCTCTGAGGTATAACACCAGACCTAAACCCAATCAAGGTAGCAGAAAGTCTGTATTGCTCTGAAGAAGATCCGTACGGACAAGTGGTGCGAAATTCCTAGTGTTTTGTGTGCAAAGCCCATTCAAACTTTAGGAAATGTCTGATATGTGTGATTGAAAAAAAGGCTCTTTCCTAAACATCAATTTGTGTTTCTTTTTCTGATGTATCAAATACTGATTCCATGCAATATAATCAGAGATGGGAAGTAACGAAGTACAAATACTTCGTCACTGTACTCAAGTAGATTTTTCTGGTATTTTTACTTTACTTTACTAATTATTTTTATGGCGACTTTTTACTTCTACTCCTTACATTTTTACACAAATATCTGTACTTTCTACTCCTTACATTTTTAAAAATTGGCTCGTTACTTTAGTTTTGAATCATTTCAATGGAGTTACCGTTATTATTTTTCACGTCATCAATACCAAATTCAATCTAATTGGATGGGAATCTACGTTGCATTTGACGCACCACTACAAGATGAATCGACAGATTCGGCGGTATTCATTGGCGGCAAATCATTGCAGCTTGGTGGCGGTGGCGTTAGCATAGTAGTATGGACGGCGAGATGATTGAAAATGAACACAACGGAGATCTAGTCCTATTGGCAGACATCCATTTAAAATGTAGGCAACGGCATGAAAAAAGTGGTTTCTGCTTTTACTTTTATACTTTAAGTAAATTTACAAGCCTGTACTTTGTTACTTTTACTTGAGTAAAGAAGTTTAATCAGTACTTCCACTTTTAACAGAGTATTTTTAACACAAGTATCTGTACTTTTACTCAAGTACGGAAAGAGAGTACTTTTGCCATCTCTGAATATAATGCAAAGAATTTAAATAAAAATAAAACTTCCTGTGAAGAAAATCATTTCAGTTTCCTTCTCATCTATACTCTCAGCTGTACTGGGCAGAAAGCCATATACATGATTGATGTTTTATTTCACAGTTACATTACAGTCTTCTTTATTATGTTACCAGTTTTCTTTTTCTTTTTTTTTCTTTTGTTAACCTGGCAGTTTCCCATGAATCCTCAGCTTTAGTGTTACATTTCCCCCATCTGGCCAAGTCCTGCCCCTGATTACACTTCTGCAGAGGAGCTAGCCCTGTCAAATATTGAGGGCTGCTCCATAATGGATGGGGCGAGAGGTGGGGTCTAACAGGCCCCTCCAAATGTAGCATGTATAACACTATAAGCATATATATATATATATATATATATATATATATATATATATATATATATATATATATATATATATATATATATATATATATATATATATATATATATATATATATATATATATATATATAAAAACCCCTACCACAGAATGCATTAGCCTACTGTAATTTTACTCAATGCATTTTTTAACCATTTTTCTTTCTCTATTCTACAACTTAAAGAACATTTGCTGATTAGCAGTTTGCTACTGTTAAAGAAAAATTATTATTTTAGTTTTTAATACAGTTAATCTTATGGCATGTGTAAAAGGTATGTTGAACACTCTCATTTTGACCATATTTCTTAATTTTGAACAAGGCTGTGTTAATGATTTAAAACTACTAATGGGTAAGTATTCAAAGCACAGGAGGCCATAAAACGAGTATCTCCTGGGGGGTGAATACCAGTTGAGCCTCAGGGGAGAGGTCTGCTTGGTTTACAGAAGATCAAAAGTCTTCCAGAATAAACATCTGGGATGGTGTGATACTGAATAAAATGTAGAATGTTAAAACACTAACATTTAGTTTTTAAGACATTTTTCTAAGTATTAATATCATGTTTTTTTAATTGAAAATTGTACTATCTGTGACAATATCAGAATCAAATTGAAATTGTTTGAATGAAAATGTTTTGTTTAGTATTAGAAAATTGCTCAGGATATATGTTTAATGGGGTAATTGAATATGTTAGATTGAATATTATGTTTTATATGTGAGAAAAAGGAATTGTATCTCATGTTCTGTTGATTCTATGTGGTTTAAGGCAGGATTCAATCTTTTGGGGTGAAATGATGCAGAAGAGCAAGATTGAGTTGTGAAGATAACCTTTCCCTGAACCAAAATACTGAATTTAAATTTGTTCTTGAGATTTATGGCAGGAAAGGGGCCCTCAACATTCCACATCGATTCTGTGA